TAACCTATAAATTTTTGAGATCAAAAATATAAGGTTATAACCTGCAATAATAACCTATAAATTTTTGAGATCATTCCTTATGGTTATTCTAGGTAGTTGAGTGTAAAAATCTCAAAATTTGTATAAGGCCGAATTGCTGAAGCTCTAACATTCCTATTGTCCAAAAGAGATCTGTGGTGATACCAGAAGAACCATGGTAACCTATCACCATTTGTTGCTCTATCTGACTTTTATTCAGAGGTTCCCTATTGTTGTGGAAATATTTTTATCTGTAAAGATTGTATTCTCTCAAAAGTTTCATTTTAGTAAGACCATAGTGATTATCCTATATCAATCAATCAATCAATCAATCAATCATTAAAGGAGTTAAAGGAGAGTATCCTTTATCAAAGCTAAGTTTTACTCTTCCAAATATGAAGCACTGTTTTAGTGAAAACATTTTCAATCTTATTTATTATAGAAAAACGTTTGGGGTGAAAAAACCATTGATTTATAAAATTATTTGGCCCTAATATAGTTTAAATTTGGATCCATTGTTTAAAAGAGTCTTCCATAATGAATGGAATCAGATGGCCTGGAGGCTGGATGGGGGCTCACACCAGCTGAAGTGGCTCGTGGGGTAATTGATTTTACTCCCCCGTCATCTTGTTTTTAGTTTTTATGTATAGTGTTTGTTTTTATAGCTTGACTTTTTAATCAATCAATCAATCAATCAATCAATCAATCAATTTTTATTAATTAATGTGGGTTATTTTGTAATTGTTTGTGGGTTTCACTTTAACTGTGAGCAGCCCAGAGTCACCCATTGTGGGAAATGGGCAGCATATCAAATAAACAAACAAACAAACAAACAAACCCATGCTGCTCGATAATATATTATCAAATTCGGTGTGCCCCTGCCTCCCTGTTTCTGAGGTCTATATAAAATCCTTTTATTTTATTTATTTATTCTCAATTTTTTTGCATGAAAGCAGAAGCTTTTTTTCTTTCACCAATATCTTAAAATGTGTTCTGGAATTTCCACTGGAAGGCACTGAAATAGAAAATTGAGCCTCGCAAGGATTTTCATTTTCACTGCCACAATTTGCCCTAAAATACTGAAATGTTTTGAATCATGGTTGTGTTAACTGCTGTTGGTTGTTTTTTCTCAGCTGCTATATATTTCTTTATAATTTTATTACATAGTTTTTATCTTGTTTCTAAGTACTGTTAAAAATATTTAACAATTGTTAACTGCCCAGAATCATGAGTTTGAAACTGAATAAATAAATAAGATAGATAAACTTTGTAAAAGCAGAAATTCTGCATTCAGAAACCTTGAGGAAATACTGCCACTTTTAACAATAAGCCAGCTAGCGTTTGCTCAGCACTGACTGAAGCAAGTGGATGGATATAGATTATTTTCAGCCAAAGCTGCACTAGCTCTGACATTTTAACACGGACAATGACCCAGTAAAATTCAGTAAGTTACAATATGCAGTCTAACAGATCCCAGCACTGTTTGTTTACGAAGATGAACGATACGTACAATATCAGGCATATTTGTATCTTTGTACAGCCTCATCTGCAAAGTTCTGTGGCTTATTAAAAAGGAACCACTGTGATTCGCTAATTTAGCAACACAGCAGCATGCTGGCTTAAAGACAGGCATTCCCTTAACTGTCCTCAAGATGAACCAATCTCACAATCTAACACGATGGGTGTTACATAACTTTTGTAATGCATACAAACCAGCTTGCGAGTTTGGTGCAGTGGTGAAGGCCCCGGGCTAGAAACCGGGAGACGGGGAGTTCCAGTGCCGCCTGAGGCACCAAGCCCGCTGGGCGACCTTGGGCCAGCCCCTCTCGCTCAGCCCTGGGAAGCAGGCAAGGGCAAACCGCTTCCGAAATCTTGCCAGGAGTCAACACTGACTCGAAGGAATACGCACCAGAACAAAAAAAAGCTTTTCTCTGGAATAGAATCTTATGTATGGCACCGATACTAACACTGCAATCACAAACCAAACAGGATCAATACATAAAATCAGACTCACCTTCAAGTCTTGGGCCACGTCTAGAATACGGGATAATTTTGCTTGGTCATACTGTTCTCCTCTCATGTACCATTCTGCCATAGCATGCATGATGAGCTGACGAATTGAAGGGGACTGACCCTAAGAAAACATTTAAATGTCAGTCTATTACAATAATTATTTAGTTGTTTAATTTCGTGACAGAGACCACATCCCTTGCTCCTCTGTAATACTGTGGTACTGGAATTGGCTATGTTTTAAATGGATTTGAGCCCACGACCACATTATTTTTCAACTCACAGGCCTGAAAGCACTAACTGCAAGCCACTAGTAGTGCTATTAGCTAAAAAACATGGCCTTCCTCTATTCCATCCCCTCACCTGGAGCCAGAAAGGGAACTCCAACGGGCAACCGTGTCTGGAAACATATGAAAATCACTGGATATCCACCACTCTGAAACCCGTCAGATCCCTTTCGTAAGAGGGGGGAGGCAACGTCAAGTGAAAACCAGAGATGGGCAAAGCACAGGAAACTTCTGCTCTCGGTTGAAGCAGCAATAACCGCCTCCCTCTTTTTTATGCTTTATTTACCTGCAGTTGCTTACTTACTTTAAGCATACTGTCAGACATGTTTGCTCTGCAGAAAATAGCACTGGGGGAAACCTACTAAGAACATTATTGAGACCAACAATTTTGACATTCAGTTCATTTTCTTATTTCAAATGCTGTTCCTGTGATTGAAGATGTTAGAGGTTTGCCAAATACTTAAATATTTATCTTACCTTTCCATAAAGGCATTTACTAAGGTAACTAATTAAATGCAAGTGCAAGAATTAAGCCACACCGTATCAATATAATAGTCCTGTTGGAATCTATCATAAGAAAACTCTGCAAAAAAAATTATCTTCTCTCTTTCTGAGATAGCAACAACAGGCCTTTATCTACTTTTCTTTATACCAAACAATCTCACAACAGATTCCAGGCAGTACTTCAACACTGGCTCTCCTGGATCTGACAAAAATGAAAGAGAGCTGGAAAATCATCAGACTATTTAGAATGAACTCCAAGGCTCTAGATAGTCTCTCTCAAGGATCTCATATCACACAATAACAGAGCACAGCTTGAGGCACACCACATAATTGAATCAGTGCCATAACGTTCTTCGTGGAAAAAGCAGAGTGGCCAAAAAAAAAGCAAGATATCTCCAGTTTTGCCCTCCTCTGTCAAAACAATGCTTTTTCAAATCCTTACCTGTCCATGCCATGCATAATGCAAGATGATAGCAGAATTTGGGTGGTTGCCAAGGAAAATGGGCATAAGCGTGGAGATGAGTTCATGCCGTAAAGTATGCCAAGAAGTGTTGATCTGTAGCAAAGCCAAGACCAACATATCTGGACAGTGCTTGATAGGGAAGCTGAAGAGCTGCTTGACTTGTTCATACTGGCCCACCTCTGCCAACCGCAACAGGGACTCAATTAAATCTAGGCTCTTCCTAACAAAAAAGAAAAACACTCAAATATATAAGCAAGTTCACATGACTTTGGCTTCATATGTGACTATCAAATACTTCTACATTTATACATCCAACAAGAATACTACCCTTTGTACAGTGGACATCACCTTCTAGTTGCATCCCATCTGGATTCCTGTAATGTCCCACAAGTGAGACTCTTTTCTTGAAAAGTGTACAGCCGGTCCAGAATACTCCAGCCAGACTGATCCTGCAACTGCTTATGAAGAATATGGGATTCCTTCTTAAAACAGCTCCATGAGCTACTGGTCTGTTTCTGGATGCAATTCAACATGCTAGTTATCACATATAAAACCCTACATCACTGGGACCTGAAAGACCATATTCACTGTGTACACTGGAAACATTTCTGATATGGTTGTTTTAATGACCTTTAATTGTTCTGAATTACACTGCTGTTTGACTACATTTATCAATGGAAAATTCTTGGAAATAAACATGCAAGGCTTGGAAAAGGAAAGCTAAAAATTAAAAACAGAGGTTACAGAGGCTTCAGAGTCACATGAGTCACTCCCAACCCCTACAGTCTACTATCTTAATCCCATGATCGCAAAGCTTAAAAAATTGGGACAATCCATTGAATTTACACACCTAACTTGTATGCAACTAGTTACAGACTAGCCAATACGTTCAGTGCCTGGAACAGCCCCCTCTGCTAATCTCGTTATCCCTCTCTGGTTGATTCACATATTGTGTGTGCACTTGGTGCCTCAAAAATTATTTTTATCACAGAGGTCTCACCGTAAATACTGTAATCACTTTTGATTTCAAAAGTAAGTACATCTTAGAAAAGCAATGCTGCTTACCACGTGGCAATTTCACGATTATCATCCTCAGGTGGTGCTTTCAAGATATCCGTGGCAACAGTATGACAGGGATAGTCAGCGAAACAGAAGATCTCTGGGTTAATGAGGGAATACTGAATGAATGAGAGCTGCAAAAAATGACATCATTGGAATAATCATTTCAGGCCTTTAACCACATTACATGTGGATCTTCATAAACTTTTCCTTCACATTTTGTTTCTATTCTTATGCATTTAGATTATTTTTGCTTTTCCTGTTCACTTTCAGAACAAAATTTTAAAAACTCTGATTCATTCTCCTGCTATGACTAATTTATCACCTCTGGCTATGTACCACTGCATTATTACAGAAGGGAAAAAATATCATATGCCCAAAGCCCAGTTTCTAAAGCAAATATTCCATTCTTTGCTCTCAAAGTTAAATTTAATTTTAGTTAAGATCAATCAGCAAAGACATTGTGATTGCTGCTATTCTTGTTTGGTCCTGCCTCCCTTGCCATCTTCTTTTAGATCCTAATAATACATACATTCCAATGCTTAACATCCGAAAGATCAGATCAAACTCTAGATCATACTACACTTTAACTTTCCAAGTGAAGACTCATGAATTAACAAATAAGTAAATTTCATATATAAACAGTGGCATAGTCATTGGAAAAAAATGAAAATGGAGAAAAAACCTGGGAGCTGCATATTTACCTGGCCTTCTGCATGTTTCCAAGGTCTGTATATAAGGTCAACTGGAAAAACTTCCAGTCCTAATCCTCGCTGGACCCCATAAACCACTATTTGCAGACCCTTGCTATCACGAATTTGAAATCCAGGGTGGTCCAGCTCATAAGTTACTTCCTTGAAGTTTAAGGCTGGATTCTGCACAGGATATAAACAGGTAGTAGTTTAATGTACAGTATTTCCCACTGTTTTTTCTATGGATTAATAAGTGGCACAGTCAGATAAATATATTCTAGAAAATACAGAAAAGGTAATATTTACTGTTTTCTTAGTCCTAAAACACAACCAAAACAAAGGAGATGAAGTGACTAGTTTACCTCCCAGCTTCTCAGGGAAAGAAAGGAATATTTGGATTGGACACAGGAAGCACTTGTGCAGGGACACACGTAGCAAAAAGCCTCCCAGAAGATAAAAGAAAGTCAAGAAGAGGATGCTGAGTGATGGAGGTAAAAACCATTCACGACAGCTTGCAAATAGATTCCAGTGCCTTCCCACTGATGTTTTAGATTTCCTAGATGAAGAGCAGCTACAATAAGCCTTGGGAATCAAGAAATAAGGGGAAGGATTCCTACCTCTGCCCTGTAGCAATGGGAGGCAGTGACTGGAAACTCCCTACTGGGGGGGACTGAAGCAACATTCTGTTTGCTGGATAGTCTGTCAAAAAAACAGACCATCTGTTCCTCCCCAGGATTTCAAGACTCTTTATATCCACTGAGAATTATCCCATTCTCCTAATCCACAAGAATCCAAATGACTCAGCTAGACACAACCTTAAATACATTGCAAGCGACTATATAGTGCTGGGCAAGAGAGTGAAGAAACTGGATCCAGGAAAACAGAAAATATACTGGAAGCAAACAAGTGATCACATAGATACTGCAAACTTTAGATTCTTTGATAATGGGACACATTTTCAAGACAGCAGACTCCTGGCAAAAGATGGGCTGCATGTCACAAAACTGGGAAGAATATGTTTGAAAGGCACCTTGCAAATCTGATCCAAAGAGTTTTAAAATAAAACCTATGGGGAAAGGAGAAAATGGCCCAGAAAATAGTGTGAGGCCAAACACTGAGAATGGGACTGGGCTTGGAAGGAGTATGTAAAATATGGATATGTAAATACGTGGAGAAACATGAACCAAGAATATACAAATGTACAGAGCATGGAGAACAAACAGCAAGAACTAGACATCTTTAACAGGCATTGCTGAAACCTGCGGGATGAAACTATCAGGTTGGGGATGTTACACCCTGCCAAGGTAGGTAAAAGAGGTAGATAAGGTCTTTCTGGACAGTATTACAGAACTTTCAGAAATGGGAGAGGCTGCATTAACAGGAGTTTCAGGAGAGCCAATTTTAACCAGCTTGGAGAAGTTCTAGACAGGATACCATGGACAAAGGTCCTCAGGTCAAATGGTGTGGAGATATGCTGGGAACCTCTCAAAAGATGAGCTATTGGAAGGACAATCAGGCATCATTCCAATGAGACAAATATGGGGGCAATTTAAGAAACCATTGTGGTGGCACTTTCAGCTGAATTAAGAGTTGAAAGGGACATCTAAATGAAAAATGGGTATAATCACCTACTCGGAAAGATTAAAGCACAAACAAGGAAAGCTAAAAAAATGGCAGCCAGAGGGGTCCTTGGTTGCCTACATCAGTAAGCAAAGGTGGAAAAATAAGTGGGGGGGCTGTGGAAAATGGTAGGAGAGGAACAGGGAGCCTTACTTCAGGGAAGTGTATTGAAATGGATCAAAAGATTAACATGAGTAGCAACCCAAGGAAAGCATCAAGATTATTACAAAGCACCTGACTACCACCAATTTATTTATTTATTTATTTATTTATTTATTTATTTATTTATTTATTTATTTATTAATTTATTTATTTATTAATTTATTTATTTATTAATTTATTTATTTATTAATTTATTTATTTATTAATTTATTTATTTATTAATTTATTTATTTATTAATTTATTTATTTATTAATTTATTTATTTATTAATTTATTTATTTATTAATTTATTTATTTATTAATTTATTTATTTATTAATTTATTTATTTATTAATTTATTTATTTATTAATTTATTTATTTATTAATTTATTTATTTATTAATTTATTTATTTATTAATTTATTTATTTATTAATTTATTTATTTATTAATTTATTTATTTATTAATTTATTTATTTATTAATTTATTTATTTATTAATTTATTTATTTATTAATTTATTTATTTATTCCTCTCTGTGCGATCGGGTGGGACAGGTTGAAGACATAGGGGAGAGGTGGTCTGAGTTTAAATCTCCAGGACCAGACCAAACATCCAAGACTCCTGAGGGAATTTGTGAATGTCATCTTGGTGCCCCTTTCCCTGATCACTGAGAAATCATGGAGGGTGGGTATTGTTCCAGAAGGTTAGAAAAAAATCTCCAACTAGAGAAATGGCAAAATATGGGCTAGACTAAATTATATTGTTAAAAGCATTTTTAACTTTAGTTATACAAGTACCTTTCTTCATAAGACCTGTAATCCCTTCAAAGCCTTGTATAAATGATTGACAAAACACCATGTATTTTGTATTAAAACTACACTTTCTGCAAACTCCTACATGACAGTTAAGATTGCCCTCAATACATTGGAAATCTAGAACAAAAAAGCTTTATCTCTAAGTTTTTAATTAAACTTTACTGCCTGCTCTTAATACTCAAAGAGATTGCTTATAAAAGTATTTTGATCAATATTCTGAATCAGATGCATCCGTATATGATCTAAATAAATATTTTCAATTCCACGCACTTATGGCAAAGGATATGTTTTTAACATGACAGAAAACATGCAGGTTATGCTGCAAAAGTAATACCCCAGTAGTCATTAAATGATAAGTAGTTCTTAATTCCAGAAATACATTTTTACCAAGATTCCATTTTATGAACATACCAGTTCCTTAAGCACATCAATCAAAACCTCCACATTCCATGTATGAGTCTGCGTTCCATCATTTTTATCTCTTCCATCGCTCCAAATTCCACTTCCAGGGGCAGAGATAGACTGCAAATTAAACACATAGATGCACATTTACACTATTTCTAGGAAGTATATGGATTCTGGGGATGAAGTAAAACATTTAACTCATGCAGGAGCAAGATGGATGCAGCCTCCCAGCTCCCTTCCCTTTGTGGCCTTCAAAGTATGCCAAAATTTGGTAGCAAAGGCACCAGGTTTTTCTCCTTTTTTGCAATTTTACATTTATTATCCTGCCAAATCCTGCCACAGATTTTAGTAAATCTGCTTCTAGGCTGAAGTACACTTGGACTTTCTAATGCAAGCCTAACTCTGTCCATGATCTGTATTCTGTCCCCACACTATGCCACCTTCTGCCCAGAAAATCTTTGTAGTCTTTGTTTCATGCTACTGTGCCATCATACATTAACAGCAGCAGCTAGAACAGTAGCAGTGACTGCTAAACCAGGGGAAGGAGCTGCCATGAAATCTAAGCACCTGGTTCAACAAGCTGCTATATCTACAAGACAGACTTAAATAATCAGGAAGATAAGAGCACAAACCTCACGGGATTTTAAAGAGCAGTCTTAAAAAAGCAAAGGTCAGCTCACTACTCACTATTGAAATCAATTAAAGTTCAAATCATTTATTTTGCTCAGTACCAGAGGAATGGGTAGTAGGACCCCCAATGTAGTCTCACAGCCAAGGACCCTTCCCTTAGTATCTACCAAGACCCCTACCCCACTCTATTTCTTAAATACAGGTAGTCCTCATTTAGTGACCTCAATTGGGACTGGCAACTTGGTCATTAAGCAAAGCAGTCGGTAAGTGAAACTGCAACTGTGCTTATGATCTTACTTCAGCTTTCTTTTGCTTTACAGACCTGTGAAGGTTGTAAATGCAAGGACTGGTTGTAAAGTTACTTTTTCATCACTGCCGTAACTGTGAGCAGTCGCTAAACAAGGACTACCTGTATCCCTTTTCATTTTAAACAAGGTAAAACAGAACCTGGCAGACCAGAGCCATCCTTATTTCCAAGGACACTCCTGGATTCTACAGGGGATCTAGAATGTTCTTAGAAAATAAAAGGCACAGATGACCACAGCTCAGCGATTTGTTCAATAGTGTCCCACCTACCCAGAAAAAACGGCAAATATTAGCCAGTACGGTGCAGTCTCTGGGTACAAGGATTAGAAGAAGTGGCAGGAGCAACCTCGCCAGTTTGCCTTCTGTTAAATGTGTGGTGTGGACTTTCAATGTCAATCATGACAGTTATTTTGAGAAGAGGAAAGCCACTTGGCAGCAACCATCTTGTAAGAATGTCCACAATACGCTATCAAAATAGCTGTGTATTCTCCAGCAAAAAATCTGACTTCTACTAGCAAATTCATGCAGTGCAAGAGTGCCTTTCAGATACTGACCTGTAATGGAATGCCATCTGTCAGTCCAGAGTGTGTCCGAGCCATCATTCCCAAAACTCTGGCAACCTGGGCAGCTGTGACCTCCCCAACACCAAACTGTGTGATGATACTGCGACATTCTTCCACACTAAGTATGTAAGGTAGATAAAGCTTTTTTATTAAAAATATTAAATTGCCCAATTAATGAAATTCTCTTCTTACATGTAAAGTAACTCTAAGAAAACAACTGGGGCTTATAAAAACAGCAAATGCATAATAATGTAAAGATCTCAGAAATAAAAATAGTTCTAAAATCCTTTAAAAATAGAAGGTCGATGTACTTGATGTTAGAAGGCCACAATGTAGACGAGCCACATAAAAGACTCCGAGAAGGTCATCTCACATGTCAAATTCCCTTATAGCTCCCCTACCATATATCTGGGGAAGATAGCTACAGAGCCCCTTGAAATAATTTTTGTCCCAGCTGTTTAATGCCTTATAGGTTAAACAACCAGCACTTAGAATTGGGTCTAAAAACAGCCTGGCAGCCATTCTGCTGTCATATCCCAAAGTGCCAGTCACAAGTCTGTTACTGTCATTGTTGGTGTATCTATCTAAGCTGATTAAGATTCTCCAAGCTAACAAGGTTCCTTGTTCCTTTAGAAACCATACTGAACCTAAATGTCCCCATCCTCAAGCTATGAGCCTCATAATTACAAGGGAATTCAAACCTTCCAGATGAAGGTCATAAGAGAAACCATCCAGAAAGTTTCTGCTTAGTCTTGAATGAGTCTCAGTTCATCCAGTCCTTTCTCCTGCCCAAGCCCTGGAGAACACTAACTGACTTACCTATATTAGATGAAAAGGTTCTTGGCCACCATATGTGAAAGAATGCCTCTCCTTCAAGATTCCCATCTGAGCCTATGAGTTGTTAATGAAGGTGTCCTCATGTACTGAGGTCTGAGGGGCAGATACCAAAAGCAGACCTCCTCTCTAGTAATCCTCAAAAACTATGGAATGCTCTTACCAGGCTTTTTAATTGTTTGCAATTTTGCTCAACTTTGATGGCTTTATGTCCTTTTACTTGGATAAATGAATAACTCAGTGACTGAGTAATTTGAATATCTTTCCAAAGAGAGGGCCTTCCCCAAAAGTATCAGCTACTCAAGACTTTACATCTCCAGAGATAAAAGCTTCTCCCCACCCTTCATGACTAGCTGCCAGCTTCAGGGTAAGGCATGGTCTGTTAAGTACAGGCAGAGCTTGAGACACCTCATTCTGCAATCCCTTGGGGGCTTCTGGAATATTGCTTGAAGCAACATTTCAAGCACTCTCTTTTTGGGCTTCAGCATGAAACTTGCACTCAAATGTTCGGAATGACAGATACCTGGAGCAACCTTCTGAGATTCAGATAGCACAGGGCAGTGGTTAAATAACTACTTGAAAATGTAGCAATCAGTTGCTTCTCAGCTTGGTTGGGAAAGATCCAGGTGCACTTCTCAAAAGCTCAAAGGCTGAGATTACTAAGCAAAAGAACAATCACATGGATGCTCAAGAAGGAGCATTAAATGATACACATTTCACACTAATATTGTGCAAGTTTCAACATTCAACTATAATGTCCATGCTATAAGTCCCAATATTTAAATAACCTTTCCTTTATTCACCTGAAAAATACTTTGAATAATCTCTAATCCAGTGAAATCTCCCACCCACATACCTTGTACAAAAGCCATAGCCAACTTCCTGCATGAAGTCTGCAAGAGAACTCTCCATCATGGTTTTTGCTATCCCTCCAGAATCAGGCAGGATCCTGTCCATTAGAATGTCCCGTTTTTCAGGGTATAGGAGTGGTGCAAGCACCACAGGGCAACGCTCCTGGGGAAAATCTAGGAGTGCAAAGAAGTTTAGCATTTCACAATGTGTAGATAAAATCATAGACTTCCATTATCCTGTGTTTTCAATTCTAAATCATGTTATTAAACAACTAATTGTTGACTGTCCAAAATTAGATATTCCAGTTCCTCATTCCATGTATTATAAGGTGGTCCTTGACTTATGACCACAATAGAGACTGGAAAAATTTGTCATTAAGCGGTGCAGTCATTAAGCAAGGCATCACATGTCTGCACCTGATTTTATGACATTTTCTGCACCGGTTAAACAAATCACCATGGTCATTTAGCAAATCATGCAGTTGTTAAGTGAATCATGTGGCTCCCCATTGACTTTGCTTGTCGGAAGCCCCCTGGGAAGGTCACAAATGGCAACTGCATGACCCTGGAATGCTGCAACCATTGTAAATACATGCCAGTTGCAAAGCGCCTGAATTTTGATCATGTGACCATAGGAACATAAGTGCAAGGACCGGCCACTTTTCTCAGCACCGTCACAACTTTGAACAGTTGTAAGTCAAGGACTATCTGTATATTTTAATCTTTATCCAATTTTTAAATTTCATGTAAAACTAGACTGTTGGTTTCATTTCAAATATGGCATCTTTTAAAGATACTGGTATTTCAGATACCTCTGAAATTGCTAAAGCAGGGGTCAGCAACCTTCTTCCACATAGGAGCCAGAGGCCACATCTATGAGTGGATGGTGGGCTGCTCTCTCCCTCTTTCTCAGGCAAATAAACTTCAACAATTCTATTCAATTATGTCACATCTTCTGCATGCCAGCCCTTCAGGTGCTTGTAGACAGCTATCATGTCTCCCCATAGTCTTCTGTTCTCCAGGCTAAGCATATTCATCCCCACCAACCACTCCTCAGAAACTTCCTCCCAATTCCCTGACCACCTTGGTTGTTTTCCTCTGGACACACACCAGTTTGCCAATGACCTTCCTTAAATGTGGTGCCCAGAATTACATGCAATCTCAGTACAGTCTCACCAACACAGAATAAAGAGGAACAATTATTTCTCTTGATCTTGGCATTATACTTCTGTTGATGCAACCAAAGCCTCTACTTACTTCCTCTGCGATTGCATCACACTGTTGGCATACATTCACATGCACTGCTGCCAGTGTGGTCCCCCTCCTCATCCTTTATTCAACCTTTACAATTTTCCTAATGGAATGTAGGACTTCACATTTATCCCTATTGAAATTCATCTAACTTGTTCTTTCCATTGATGATAATATTATCTAATCTCTCATTGTTCATAAAAACGTGGAATAGCACAAGGCCTAGAATAGAGTTCTGTGACATGTGACATTTCCCTCCACTTCGATAGGAAAGTCTTTCTGACTTAAGTTTCTGTAGATATTAGCTACTTCCTACTATACCTCTTGGTAATTACAGGTAGTCCTCGCTTAACAACCGCAATAGGGATTGAAAAATGGTTGTTAAGCAGGGCAGTCATTAAGCAAGTCACATGACCGGACCTGATTTTACGTCATGTTTACAATTTTTACTATGGTCATTAAATGAATCACATGGCCATTAAATGAATTCTGGCAAAAAAACGTTCATTGGGGAAGCTGGAATCACTTAATGAAGTGATCTGCTTAACAACCGAGGTGATTTACTTAATGACTACCGTAAAAAAGGTCACAAATCACAATCACATGACTGCAGGGGGTGATGCAATGGTTTGAAACGTCATAAGTGCAAGTACAGGTCATAAAGCACTTTTTCTGAGGCTGTCATAACTTTGAACCATCGTTAAACGGTCATTACGCAAGGACTATCTATACAGTCATCTTCCACTTGCTATAGGAATACAGGGATACTTGTACAAGAATACATGATACCAATCTGATCATGAAGTTCTTGCAAGAAAGAAAGAAAAGAGTTTTGGAATGGGCTTCACGGTTCCCAGGCATGAATATTAATACAGAAAACCTGTGGGGAAATCTTAAACCTGAAGTACGTGCAAGAAACATTTCTGAGGTAGAAGAGATCCACAAGGAACAAAGGGAAAAAATTGAAAAGCAAGAATAGATATGACTTTTAGCTTCTACAGCAAATGTTTAGAACCTGTTATTTCTGTCAATGTTGTACTTGTCATATTCACTGCTTTTTTATTCTGAATTTTATTCTGAAATGATGAGATTGGTAGGGGAGAGGGCATATCTTTCCACCCAAAAAGTCTTCTGTCATGATATCCAGACTTCATTTGTCTGCAAATGGAGCTCTATGTAATTATTGAGTGAAAGAAATTGGGAAATTGGAAGTTGCTGTATAAATTGCTGCCTATTTGGTGGAAAGCAGAAACGGGTTAGTATGAACATGAAAAATGTATCATGCAGGGTTGGCGCGTTCCAGGTTCCTTCAATTAAACAATGCCATCTACCAAGATCTCAGAAGCATGCCTCTCTGTAGCAGTACCTGTCTTCTGGTATGAGGTTCCCCTTGAGATTAAAACAGCCCCTACCTTATTAGTGTTTTGAGGGGCTCTAAGGACCTGGCTCTTGGCCCAGGCCTTTGGTGAGAGTGACTGATCCCCCCATTCCATTTTTCTTTGTTCCCCTGGGTTTGTCATTTCTGCTATCTATGTTTTTTCCCCCCTTGTTTTGAACAATTTGAGTGGTTGGGAGTCTGGTAGCATGTAAATTCTCCTGCTCCATATAAAAATGGAACGTGGGGCCATATTACATAGTGTATGGACACAGACTCATCTCATTAGGTGTCTTGCTACAGAACAAGCTGTCACTCTCAAAGCAAAATCTGGTGATGTGTTTACTTAGCAAAATTTGAGGACCATGTGTTGTGCGTTCTCTTCATGCACAGAACCAATAATTAATTATGAAGAATAGGTGGCCAATTCTCAGCAGTAGTAGTTTGCTGTCAAGCTAAACATGAGGCTTCTTGCAGAAATTCTTTCACTATTTTTCATTTGAATCATCAGGCAAGCGGACCAAATATGTTTGTTGCAGCAGAATTGATACAGATAGTCCTTATTCAGCAACCACTCATTCGGCAACTATTTGAAGCTACGACGGTGCTGAATGAAGGGATTTATGACTGTTCCTCATATCTGCAGCCATCGCAACATCCCTGTGGTCATGTGATTGCCATTTGAGACCTTCACTGCCGGCTTCCAACAAGCAAAATCAATGGGGAAGCCGGCAGGAGTTTCCAAATGGTGATCACGTGGCCATGTGGGTTTCACCTAACAACAGCAACTGAAACTGGTGCAACCGCCATCATAGGTCAGTGTCATGCTTCACAACTGCGTCGCTTAGTGACAGAGTTCCCAGTCCCATTTACTAGTGTTAAGCGAGGACTACCTGTACTAACAAAGCAAGCTTGATAACTATTGGCTATGGTTATGGGTTTTGATTGTTGATTGTTCAGTCATTAAGTTGTGTCCGACTCTTCGTGACCCCATGAACCACAACACGCCAGACCTTCCTGTCCTTCACTGCCTCCCTGAGTTTGCTCAGTTTCATGCTTATTGCTTCAGTGAT